GTGTCTGGGGCCCCAAGACTAGGAATGGCGCAGGTCCCAAACTGGGAGTAGCGAACAGCGGGGGAGATGGAAGGGTGAATGTGGCTTGGGGAGTCAAGGCACGGAGGGCTGCACTTCCTTGAACTTTTTTTAATTTTTTTATTGAGCTTTTTAAATTTTATACAACAGCTCTTAGTCAAATTTACATCCCTTCCCCCATCCCTCTACCAGACCCCATGTATTCCACCATACACATTAAGTCCCATCCAGTCAAACATTTGTATCCAGATGTCGTTCAGTGTAAATTCGTCCACAAGAGTCTAGTCAGCCCATCTAGAGATTAAATGTAAGGCATACTCTCCTTTATCAGTCTTCAATAGTTCTCAGTCTATGGACAGCCTGCCATCCATTTCACTCTGGGCCGTTGTTTAATTGAGTTGACATGGGTCCTGTGCTCGATGCCTCCATTGCCACAAGTTCACATGTGCAGACTTCCAGTGGCTTGAAAACCTCTGCTTCCCTATGTTCATGAGCCAGCCCTGGCTCTTACAATCTTTTCATCCCCTCTTCTGCAATGGTCCCTGAACCATGGGTGGGTGAGATTCGATATAGAAGTCCTATCCTACACTCTGTAGTGTCTTCTCTAAAACTTAGCCAGTTGTGGCCTTCTGTGTGCATCACACTCTGTTGTACATGGAAGTTTTACTGGTGAGAGTTGAGAAATGAATTAGTGTGGTGTTTCACTTAGGATTTTTCTGCATCACTGTTTTCCCCACCTTCAAAACACATAATTGCTTATGTTTCATCCCTGTATTTGAATTAAATTGTACTTCTTAAGTTTTGGAAGGTTTAATAATATCCAGATAATTCTTAAGTACATACAAGTTTGCGGGTGTCTCATGTCTATGATGCCTATAATCCAAGCACTCGAGTCTAATAAAAGAGAATTGCCATAACTGAGAGTTTAAGGACAGCCTAGGCTTCGTGTGAGACCTTGACTTACAAAATAAAACAACAAAAATAAAATAAACCCAACAAAAAATTAAATCAACAGAACTTTCTGTAACTTTTGTTGTTCAAGGAGTCAGACCAAAGGATTTAAACAGGCAATAATAGTTTAGTAATCCTTCCTTCTGACGCCAAAGAAATTCTGCCCCTATGGACTTAGATAGGACCAGTTTCCATAAGAGGATCTCAGTTTCTCAAAGCAACAGAGAGCCTCAGTTCTTCCAGAAAGCTAAAAGAGCACAAGGAGGCTGAACACATGGCAAATGCCAGTCTTCCCACTCAGGCAGTGCCCTGGTTGTGGACAATGACCTTTCACTGGTGCAACCACAACTCTGCCAGACCATCAGAGGAGAATCATCCAACATTTCTCTTCTCTGGTGCACTGGCTTCAGGATGCTGGACTTGAGCTGAGGTGGGCACAATGGAACAGAAGCCTGGTATTGAAGGCCATTGTAATAGAGCAGATAGGGAGAGGGACAGAGAAAAAACCATCCCATATTCTGTTAATACAAAATACACCCATTTACAATAGCAGTGTTCCTTCAACTTCAGGAAGTATCAGAATCACCTAAAGGATTTATTGAAGCACAAAAATACTGAACTCCATCACTAGGCCTAGGAAAGGGGCTAAGAATTAGCTCTACCAAGTTGCCAGCTGATTCCAATGTTTCTCGTCTTGGAATGATCACTGCTAAAAAACATGATCTGCTCAGTTCTGGAATCTGATTAGTCAGGTTAACCACTTGTGGGTGGAGGAAGAACAGAGTGGACAGATGAGGGCTGATGTGACACAGAAAAGAAAGTGTCGATGTAACTGGATTTCTTTCCTCCCAGAACTCAGCATGTATATCATTTTTGATTTTTAATGACCTAAATGGTTTACTAATTCTGCCTTGGCGGGGGGAATTGGGTTAGATTTTCTGAATAGTCCATGAAAATGGTTGTGATTTTAATCTTTTAATTTCTTATAACCAAAAACAATCCTCTAAAATTGTACTGTTACCATTATTATCAACTGAATTAGGCACTAGCTGGGGCAGTGGCAGAGGTCTGTAATCTCAATACCGGGGAGACTGAAGTGGAAAGATCAGAAGTTTGAGGCCAGGCTGAACTATATAGTGAGTTCCAAACCAGCCTGCACAACATGACAAATACCACATTTTCATGAATATGTGGAATCTAAATTTAAATTTGTGTGTGTGTGTGTCTGTGTGTGTGTGTGAGTGTGTGTGTGTGTGTATGTGTGTGTATTAGGTGGAAACTAGAAAAAGGATTTTGTAAAGAAGAGATCTTAAAGAGGGCTCGAGATGAATGGTGTACGTGTATCATGGAAGCATAAGTAGAACCATCGATTGGGGGAGGGAAGAGAACCTGTGAAGGGATGGTAAGGGGACAAGAGAGGGCCATGGGGAAGGGGGACAAATAAGAATATAGTGTATATGAAATGAAGATTCATTTTAAATTATTATGCAACCATAGAAATCATTGAATTATATGAAACCTGTTCATCAAGAGTATTTGGGAATACAATGGCAGTCATGTCAATGAGAGACCAACATCCACAATGATAAGGCACAACCCTGAGTTATGTCAGTATTCACAAATAGGCAAAGTCAAATATGTAAACAGCCAAGACTGCCTAAGTGACACACAAATAAATTGCTACAAATCTCAAAAAGAAAAACACTTCTGGCTCTTGAAGCACATTTTAAGTTCATTCAAATTCATTGGCCAAAGCTAGTTTAACATTAACTGTGTGAAGAAATACCACCCTCACAATAGGACAGGAAAGTGTCTGGGCAATAACGAAATCTTTCACAGCTGCATTTGATCACTATGCACCTGCAGAAGTCTCAACTCTAAGAGATAAAGGTGATATTCTAAGCATATGTAAAAATGTTATATACAGGACTATATAATTTAACATAAACAGATATTAGACAACTCTTTTGCTAAGTGTCCAATGACTGTGAGTCAAAAACGTTGCAAAAATTTTTTACTTAAAGGAAGTCATAAGTCTCCTTTTAAGTAGAGCTATTCAAGTGTAAAGACAATAACATTGAAAGCTAGGCTTAAAAAGAGTGGCAGCTGCTGAAGGGCACTTATTTAAAGGAACTGTGCAGGTCATTTCAGTATTAGACAATGCTACCAAATTTGTAATTCAGCTCCTCATTCAAACTCTGGATGAAATAATCAACAAAATCTCACCTCTTTGAGTCAATCTTAGGCAATATGCCTACTGTCCTTCAGGTAGATACAATATCACTCTGGGAGTTTCTTTGTCTTCCTTAATTATGTGTTGAGTCTGAAAATGGGATGGCCCAGCCTCTGCTGTCACATGAGTCTATAGGTGTGTGCCTTTGTATGATCTGACTAGTGGATTTTGTGCTCCTCGTCAGACTGGGGAATTGCCAAATGATATTCTGCAGCTATCCTCAGACCTTTCCTCTCAATCCAACACACCATATACTCAGTACTTAGCTGGTTGGTAAGAAAAGAACTATCTACCTACACAACCTTTCTCCAGAATAGACTGAAAACATGATCCCAAATCTGCTTGGTCTTGACACCATAGATAATAGGATTTATCATAGGTGGGAAAAGAAGATAGAAAATTGCAAGCAGTATGTGGACATGAGGGGCAGCCCTGCGAGCTACATGGTACATGACTGAGGAGATGACAACAGGTGTGTAGGTAGAAAGAATAGCACCTATGTGAGACACACATGTCCTGAAGGCCTTGTAGCCGGCCTCTGGGGAGGCAAGCTGGAGAACTGCCTGAAGGATGAAGATATAAGACAAGACAACAAACAGCAGGTCCAGCACCACGATAAACATGGCCACAGCAATGCCGTAGATGTTGTTGAACCAGGTGTCCCCACACGCCAGCCTTACCACAGCCATGTGTTCACAGTAACAGTGGGCGATCGCAGTGCCTCGGCAGTAGTGGAAGCGTCGCAACAGAAAAGGGAGCGGAGTCATGAGTGTCACAGCCCGGGTCACAGCAGCCACGCCAATCTTGATGATGAGGGGCTTGGTCAGGATCGTGGTGTAGTGCAGTGGTCTGCAGATGGCGACATAGCGGTCAAAGGCCACAGCCAGCAGCACGGCTGACTCCATGATGGAGGAGTGGAGAAAGAACATCTGGACCAGACAGGCATAGAAATTGGTCTCTCGATCCCTGAGCCAAAATATAGCGAGCATTTTGGGCAGTGTTGTAGAAGAAAGGACCAGATCTATGGTTGCCAACAAGGCCAGAAAGAGGTACATGGGCTCATGGAGGGCTGAGTCAGCCTGAATAATGAAGGGAAGGGTACAGTTTCCCAGCAGGGCCGGAGTATAGGCAAAGAAGAAAGGAATGGAGATCCACATGTGCAGATGTTCTAAACCAGGAATTCCTACCAATAAAAAGGCCACGGGGTGGGTTCTGGTTATATTAAAGACTAACATGACTCCTGGAAATTCCTGTTGACTTTTTACAGGGCCCTTCACCTGCAATCTTCATTTTCTCTGATATACATGATAATAGAGTTCAACTTCTGATATCCCAGCTGGGTGGATTAGGTCCCATTCTCATTGTTAGACCTGAAACAAAATAAGCTAGTAGTTCCCATAGACCTACAGGAATATAATCCGTGTTCTGTGCCCTTAAGGAACTTTGGCTCTGAGTAAGAAGATATTAAATACCCACAGAACTGGTGTCATATGTCAACCTTCACAAAGGGATGTAGAGCTGGTCATGTTTGATGTGTTCTTGACATCAGGTATACCTTCGGGGAGGGGAGAAAATATGTGCAAATCAGTTCATTACTTTTGTAAGATTTATTCTTTTTGTTTGTTTGTTTGTTTTGAGACAGGGTCTCCCTGTAGCCCCAGCTATCCTGGAACTCACTGTGTAGACCAGGTATTCTTTATTTTTTAATATTCATGTGCATGTATGTCTGTGTGTGCATATACTCACATGAATACAGGTACCTGCAGAGGCCAGAAGAGAACATCAGATCCCCTAGAGCTGAAGTTATAGGAGGTTGTGGGCTGCCTGACATGGGTGCTGGGAACTGGACTCAGGTCCTCTGTAAGAGCATCACAGGCTCTTAATGGCTGAGTCACCTTTGCACTCCTCAGTGCATTTATTTTTTATTTTTTATTGAAATTTTTTCAATTTTCATACAATATAATTTGATGATATTTAGATCCCCTGCCCCACCCACACCTTTCCCTACTGTCCTCTGCCCAATTCAATATACTCCACTATATATACAATGCAGCCTACAGAGTCTGATTTGTATCCCTATACGTCCCTCAGCATGGGTCCATTCACTGGAGCCTCGTCAGCCAACCAAGATTCCTGTCTTTATAAGAGATTGTCTCTCTCCCTTCCAGCATACTATTATACATTCCTATCAAGCTAAACTCTCAAATTCAAAGCCAATATTTTGTCCCAAAGTTTCAAAATTGAGTGCATATAGATAGGTGAAATAAACTCTAATTTTTAATGTTCCAATTAGTCATGCAATATGGGCTGTCTCTAGGACTGTTCTGATACAGATCCATTAGCCACATGTGGTTATTTAACTTTGAATTTACTAAAATGAAAATCATCAGTCATACAAAATACTTTCCAAATGCTTCTATCCACGTGTAGCTAGTGGCTATCATATCACACCATTCAGATAAGACTATTACCATCATGCAGAGCATTCTGTTGGAGAGATCTGCTCTAGAATGCCCTCCAGATCCTTTTAATACTCAGAGATCTCTGTAAATACAGTCCTAACTCTAACTTATTGAAACAAATATATCTTGTTCTGGTTTCCCAATGAAACTCCTGTTAATTTCCCTAATCATCTGGCTCATAACAAAACATTTAAAAGTATCTAGATTCAGTCTCAGCTCTCTCAAATAGCGTCTGAATTTGAGATATTCCATTCTGTTACCATTACTTCCCTTCAGTTGCTTTCATTGGGAGGACCGTTGGCTTCCATGAGGTGACCTATTTGTTATCTGCTCTGTTCATCTCCAGCCATCAGCAACTTTTTTTTTTTTTTTTTGGTCTTTGTGAGATAGGGTCTCCCTGTAGCCCCAGCTGGCCTGGATTCACTATGGAGACCAGGCTGGCTTCAAACTCACCAGCAACTTTTATATGAACTGACCATTCTCTCCTTAAAACTGACTTTTCTAGTGACTGCCGCTGTTACTGTTTCTCTCCTCTCTAGTATCTTATTCCACTCCCCTGCTTCTCTCCCACCTCAAAGAATTTAATGTCTTCAAGTCTCAAGCTTGAATTCCATTTAATGTTCACACAAGTCAGAAGGGCCTTGCACAAATTCAGTTAAATGTTTATTTTTACTTAATGGGGTAAGGAAAAATCCATGAACAAAACTGATTTCTTTAATTAAAAAAATTCTAAAACTTGTAGAATAATAAAACCAATTAATAAAATAAGTTTTAAAATATATTAAAAATAAATAATAAAAAGCAATAGTCAACACCATCATACCATGTGATTTAGTTGTTTTGTTTTGTTTTTTTAAAGCCAGCCATGGTGACTGTAATCTCAGTACTTAAAAAGGTGAAGCAGGAAGATGAGCTCAAGGCCAGCCTGGTCTATATTGTTAGAACCTGTCTCAAACTAAATAATGAAAAAAAAAAAAAAAAAAACGGGGGCTGGAGCAATGGCTCAGAAGAGCACTTGCTGCAGAGCACCAGGGTTCAGTTCCCAGCACCCACATAGCGGCTCACACTATCTGTAACTCCACTTCCAAGGGATCGAACACCCTCTTCTGCCCTGTATGAGTATCGCATGCATGTGGTTCACTACCATACAAGGAGGTAAAACACTCATACACAAAAGATAAAAATGAATATATTTAAAATAAATAAATATATATGAAGAATAGAGACGAAGACAGAGAATCTTGAAGTAGGTGGAGAAAGGAGACACAAAACTTGTTTTTCACTGCTAGAGTGAACCTAGGGCCTTGCACATTAGGCAAATACTCTACTACTGAGCTATATCCCTAGACCCAGCCATTTTAAATAAATAAATCAAAACAGGGCTCGCTGAAAGGGGAATTTGAGCAAAGAATCATAGATGAGGAAATACCTACTTTTGGTTTCCTTACAAGGCAGAAGCTAAGATTACACCCAGGTAGTTCATATGAGAAAATTTACCAGTGAACAGGAGTAAAATGAGAGTGAAATAGGGAAAGTGGATCTAAAGATGCATTTCTGAGCTGGATATTGCTATCACAGTTGTGTTGGATGCCATCTAAGAATCATGTAAAAGGAACCTCAGAATTGCCCACTGCAGACATGGAAGAGGGAGCATTTCTTCAGAAACAGCCTGCAACATCGCCTTCTGTGTAGGTATTCTACTGATCTACCACGAAGGTGCTGCTACGGCCTTACTCAGCAGCATCTTGCCCAAAGAGAGAATGTCTGAGGAAGCCACTTTTTAGATAAACCCTTGAGTGTGGGCAGGGGACTGTGGATGTGGCTGGAAAATTCATGGTAGACCAGTAGAATGTGAAAGATACAGAATAGATGGAATTATACTTGACAGAAGAACGCTCTAAGAAGGAACAGCCATAGAAAATACCCTGAGGTTTAAATATGGCCAATGTTCACAGATCAGCTATGTGGTCAGTGAAGCTAGAAAGAGGTAAATGTGCAAAATCCCCAAGGTCAGAGGGGGTTGCACATACAGGGCCACATAGGACTTTGTAGAACTTTGCAGAAATCCTACTTCTCTCAGAGTTTGGTTCAAACAAAGAAAAGACATATTTCAGTTTTTAAAATTTGCTCTGATATCTATGATGAAAATATCACAAACCATTAAGGGTAAAAGCAAGACTTTTTACTGAGGCCATTTCAGCAGTTCAAGAAAGGAAATAATTTGCCTCAGAATCCAGGTAATAAATAGCATGTGCAGTGAGAAGTACTTGGATTTTGTAGCATATTTTTAAAGTGTCATGGGGGTGCTTTATCAGATTAAATATAACCTGTGGCATAAATGGACATCTAACATGTCAGGACTTTGGACAGAGCAGCCAGAAGGAAAGAGTTGCTCTCAACTGAAATGAGGAAGGTAGAAAGAAGGAAGGAAGGAAGGAAGGAAGGAAGGAAGGAAGGAAGGAAGGAAGGGAGGGAGGGAAGGAGGGAGGGAGGGAGGAGGGAAGGGAGGGAAGCACCAGATCTACAACCTTACTGAATTCAGTTTTATTTAAATATAGTATAAAAAGGGAGGGAGGAGGGAAGAAAGGGAGGGAGGGAGGGAGGGAGGAGGGAAGGGAGGGAGGGAGGAAGGAAGGAAGGAAGGAAGGAAGGAAGGAAGGAAGGAAGAAAGGAAGGAAGGGCACTTGGAGGAGGAGAGTAAGATTTTAACTTTGGACATGGTAAGTTTTAGATGTTTGTCGGGAGCGGTCTGCATCCCTATTCCCTATGGCAATTTGGGTAACCTCTTCAGAGGATGTGTGATAAGAATAAGAGATAGGAATTAGCTGGGCAGTTAGGGTAAAAAGACCCCAAAGAAAAGTAGCCACTTTCTTGGCTAAAACTCACAATATCCTTGGGCCTCTTAGCAACATACTCAGCTCCAAGGCCAAAAATGTCGAAAATATTTGGGAGCTCTTATCTAATCCTTAAAAGATTTTAGGGTTACCTCTTCAGAGGGGGGAATGTTAGAGTAGCCAAAAGCCCCATAAAGAAATTAATGAAGAAGAAAGAGTACTTGAAGTTATCAGAAAAAGTGATGGGGAGATATGAGAGGGGTTGGAGGGGAGGGAGTGGGCTTGGATTTGATCAAAACACCTTATATGCATGTATGAAATTCTCCATAAATTATTTTTAAAAAACGATGTCTGTTGGAAATCCAAATGAAGATGTGATCTGTTTGACTATGTGTCTGGAGTTCGAGGGAGAGGGTATGGTTGTTGATAGAAACTTCGTACCATTGTAAAATAGATAATATTTAAATATATTGAAGTAATTCATCATCTCAAAGATATGCCATGTGTTCATGGAAGAACTCAAACAGGAATCCCAACACGTAGACTTAGAATGTGAGAGGAGCTGGAGAACGTTGAAAAGTCCACACAGGAGACTGAATGGGTAACTATTAAGATGGAAACTTCCAGGATCTGTGCTGCCTTGGTAAGCTATTGAACACAGTATAACAAGAAGGAGGAATCATCACCATGTAAGTGATTTGAAAACAAAGTTGGCGTTGTACTTGGAAATCCAGGGGACTAAATGACTGAATAAAGTAATTTTGCTAAGATAGTAAGATATAGAGTCTAATTTAACTGAATCTGAGGATAAGAAGGAGGAGCTGAAGCCTAACAACAGTCGCCTTCATGTGAAGAATTTTGATGTAGAAGCTAAAAAGCTAATGGAACACTAGCTTTAGTAAGTAGAATCAAGAAGTGTTTGTATTCACTTGTTTCTAA